GTTTTTTCAATATGACTAAATAAATAACTGGCCATCTCTTATTCCTACTATATATATTTTTAAATAAATGTTTTAAATATAAATATTAAGTTTAAATAATAAATGTTAAATTATTTTTTCTGTGATATCTATCTCTTTATAAAACCAAATATATAAATTAATATTTGATAATTAATTAATTATTATATTTATTTGTTCTTTTTATCCATTTATAATTAAATTTCATAAATTGCTATTCAATATTTTTGAAAAAATAAATAAATGATATAATAGATTAAATATTTCAATAGTTTAGAAGAAGTAATTATTAATTTTTTAATTAATATCATTTAAATTTATTTAAATTAATAAAAAAAGTTTATAAGCTCTTCATTTTTATCTCATTAAGTTCTCCATATTATTCTGATGTATATTTAATTTAAAAATATTGTTTTTATTTTTATTAATATTTTTTATATATTTAAATTTCAATTTATTTAAATAAATATTTTTTATAAGAGAAATTATCATCATTATTTATTGATTTTTATTTAAAAAAAATTTTTTAGATATTTTAACTTAATTTTCATTTAAATTTTTAATTATTTATTTATTATTCATTTTTTATTATTTGATATTTTTTCTTTATTTTTTGCTATTAAAACTTATACTTAATAAAAGCAGTTTATTAGTTAAAAGTTGATTTAATACTCTAAAGATCTTTTATTTTATTTGATTTCTTTTTCTTTTTATTATGATTTCTTTTTTTTCATTCTTTATTCTTTGTTAATTTTATTATTTATTAATTAATCTTATTATTTCATATTTTTTCTTCATTTTTTCCTTCTAATTAACTAGAGTTAAATGCCTATTTAATTTATAAAAGGCGAAATGTAATATATCTTAATAAAATAATAAAGAAAGCTAAATTAGCTTAAAACAGCTTTATTTTTGAGTTTTTAGAAAGCTTTAAATTCTCAAAATGTAAAATTTGAAATAATTTATTCCATATTTTCTTAAAACATATCATTTTTTTTATAAGAATAAATTTTGAAAAATTTTATGAATGAAATTTACAAGATACAAATTAATATTTATTTCAAATTTAAAAAACTTAGAAATTTCAATTATATTTTCAAAGCGCGAGATACTTAATTTAAAAATTCTGTAACTTTTTAATGATATATTTTTTCTTCAATATTTAAAGTAGCAAAAAAATTGGTACAAAGGGTGCATCAGGCTTAGCTTCTGGTTTAGCAAATTGCATTAATCTCTCAAATTTGAGACTTTATCTACAGTAAAAACAGTTTATTTGTTTTGGATTGAGATATTTTTAATTATAAAAACTAATTAAAAACAATAAAGCTCTTTTTTGTTATTGTTTTTGTTTTTATTGTGCTTGCTTTTTTTGGTTCTTTTTTGTTAATTTAATTCATCATTTTATTTTAAATTTTTGCTTTTATTATTAATTAATCTTATTATTTCATATTTTTTCTTCATTTTTTCCTTCTAATTAACTATTTAAAGATATATTTTTTCTTCAATATTTAAAAAGTTACAATGAAATTGGTGATGAAGGCGTATCAGGCTTAGCTTCTGGTTTAGCACATTGTATTAATCTCTCAAATTTGGCACTTTATCTTAGGTAAAAAATAGTTTATTTATTTTGGATTGTGAAATTTTTAGTTATAAAAACTAATTAAAAACAATAGAGCTCTTTTTTGTTATTGTTTTTGTTTTTATTGTGCTTGCTTTTTTTGGTTCTTTATTTGTTAATTTAATTCATCATTTTATTTTAAATTTTTGCTTTTATTATTAATTAATCTTATTATTTCATATCATTTCTTCATTTTTTCCTTCTAATTAACTATTTAATGATATATTTTTTCTTCAATATTTAAAAAGTTACAATTAAATTGGTGATAGAAGAATAGAAATACTCGCACATATAAATGCACTCAGAATACAACTTAAAATTAATTTTTTATAATGTTTATATATTTATTTATTTAATTATGTATTTATAGTTAGAAGCTATTATCGAATTATTTTAAATTCACCAATTTTTAAATAATATACAGCGTATCAGTGGTATGCTTTAGCTCGTTTATTGCGTTTATCTCGTTTATATCGTTTAGCTCGTTTTTAGGTAAAAACAGTTGATTTATTTTGGATTGTGAAATTTTTAGTTATAAAAACTAATTAAAAACAATAAAGCTCTTTTTTGTTATTGTTTTTGTTTTTATTGTGCTTGCTTTTTTTTGTTCTTTCTTTGTTAATTTATCTCATCATTTTATTATAAATTTTTGCTTTTATTATTAATTAATCTTATTATTTCATATTTTTTCTTCATTTTTTCCTTTTAATTAACTATTTCATGATATATTTTTTCTTCAATATTGAAAAAGTGAAAATTAAATTGGTGCAAAGGGTGCATCAGACTTAGCTTCTGGTTTAGCAAATTGGATTAATCTCTCAAATTTAACACTTTCTCTTAGGTTAAAACAGTTTATTTGTTTTGAATTGAGATATTTTTAATTATAAAAACTAATTAAAAACAATAAAGCTCTTTTTTGTTATTGTTTTTGTTTTTATTGTGCTTGCTTTTTTTGTTCTTTATTTGTTAATTTAATTCATCATTTTATTTTAAATTTTTGAAAAAGTGAAAATTAAATTGGTGCAAAGGGTGCATCAGGCTTAGCTTCTGGTTTAGCAAATTGCATTAATCTCTCAAATTTAACACTTTATCTACAGTAAAAACAGTTTATTTGTTTTGGATTGAGATATTTTTAGTTATAAAAACTAATTAAAAACAATAAAGATCTTTTTTGTTTTTATTGTGCTTGCTTTTTTTTGTTCTTTATTTGTTAATTTAGCTCATCATTTTATTTTAAATTTTTGCTTTTATTATTAATTAATCTTATTATTTCATATCATTTCTTCATTTTTTCCTTCTAATTAACTATTTAATGATATATTTTTTCTTCAAAATTTAAAGTAGCAATAAAATTGGTGCAAAGGGTGCATCAGGTTTAGCTTCTGGTTTAGCAAATTGCATTAATCTCTCAAATTTAACACTTTATCTACAGTAAAAACAGTTTATTTGTTTTGGATTGAGATATTTTTAGTTATAAAAACTAATTAAAAACAATAAAACTCTTTTTTGTTTTTGTTTTTGTTTTTATTGTGCTTGCTTTTTTTTGATCTTTATTTGTTAATTTAGCTAATCCTTTTATTTTAAACATTTGCTTTTATTATTAATTAACCTTATTTTTTCATATTTTTTCTTCATTTTTTCCTTCTAATTAACTATTTAATGATATATTTTTTCTTCAATATTTAAAAAGTGAAAATTAAATTGGTGATGAAGGTGCATCAGGCTTAGCTTCTGGTTTAGCAAATTGCATTAATCTCTCAAATTTAACACTTTATCTACAGTAAAAACAGTTTATTTGTTTTGAATTGAGATATTTTTAATTATAAAAACTAATTAAAAACAATAAAGCTAATTTTTGTTATTGTTTTTGTTTTTATTGTGCTTGCTTTTTTTGTTCTTTATTTGTTAATTTAATTCATCATTTTATTTTAAATTTTTGCTTTTATTATTAATTAATCTTATTATTTCATATTATTTCTTCATTTTTTCATTCTAATCAACTATTTAATGATATATTTTTTCTTCAATATTTAAAAAGTTACAATGAAATTGGTGGTGAAGGTGCATCAGGCTTAGGTTTTGGTTTAGCAAATTGCATTAATCTCTCAAATTTGGTACTTTATCTACAGTAAAAACAGTTTATTTGTTTTGGATTGTGATATTTTTAGTTATAAAAACTAATTAAAAACAATAAAGCTCTTTTTTGTTATTGTTTTTGTTTTTATTGTGCTTGCTTTTTTTGTATATTATTAATTAATCTTATTATTTCATATTATTTCTTCATTTTTTCCTTCTAATTAACTATTTAATGATATATTTTTTCTTCAATATTTAAAAAGTTACAATGAAATTGGTGATGAAGGTGCATCAGGCTTAGCTTCTGGTTTAGCAAATTGCATTAATCTCTCAAATTTGGCACTTTATCTTAGGTAAAAAATAGTTTATTTATTTTGGATTGAGATATTTTTATTGTGCTTGCTTTTTTTTGTTATTTTAGCTCATCATTTTATTTTAAATTTTTCCTTTTATTATTAATTAATCTTATTATTTCATATTTTTTCTTCATTTTTTCCTTCTAATTAACTATTTAATGATATATTTTTTCTTCAATATTTGAAAAGTGAAAATTAAATTGGTGCAAAGGGTGCATCAGGCTTAGCTTCTGGTTTAGCAAATTGCATTAATCTCTCAAATTTGACACTTGATCTTAAGTAAAAACAGTTTATTTGTTTTGGATTGTGATATTTTTAATTATAAAAAGTAATTAAAAACAATAAAGCTCTTTGAATTTATTTGATAACTTTTAATTAATTTTTTTTTATTATCATTTTTATACTACTAATGATATTTTATTTATTAATTTAAGAAATATTTTTTAATTTAAAAGTTTATTCTATTTTGATATTTATTTAAAATTTACATAAATTTATTTTTAAATTTTTAGCTTCTTGAATAAATACAAAGTAATAAGCAAGTGTCTTAAATCAAAAAGATTAGTTGTCTTTAAAAAAAATATCTGGTGATAAGCAAGTGATGAAAAAAGGATGAATAAATTAAATAATATTTTGTAAAAGTTTTTTTTAATTGAAACTTTTAGTGTTTTATTATTTCTTAATAAAATTATATAAATGCTAAGCTTTTATATTTCATTTATATTTTAATCTGAAATATTATCCATCAATAATATTTCTATCATTTTTTTATTTATCATGATTAAATAATTAGATACCATGATTTAAATAAAAACTCAAGGAGAAATCAAATTTTACTTTATATTTTAACTTTTGTGGTTATCATATATTTTAAATATTTTATGGGGAAAGGGTGAGGTGTTAATATATGAGGATTTAGAATACATTTATATAATTTGAGTACATATCTTCTTCCATCTTTAATATTTATAGAAAAATAAAATACACTTGAATGGTTACAATACGTATTCTTTAAAAATCTTAAATATTTTTCTCAAAAAAATGCAATATAAATTTGTAAAAAATGGAATTTTATAAATTTTTGATCGATTTTTCTAATGAAAAAAATAAATAAATTTGATTAGTTATTAAATTTAAAATAATAATTTTCAATGAATATTTTAATATTCTTTAAGTTTATTTCAAAACTTTACTAATAGACTTCCAATAAAATTATATTGTGATTTAATTCTATAATAAAAATATTACTTGTTTCTTGTAAGTTACATGTAAAAAATTGAATTAAGATGAATAAAGTAAAAGAAATAATATTTAAATAAAACAATAAAATATAAATTAAATAAAATATTTAATACAAATAACTCATATAATATAAAATTAAATTATAATCAAAACTTAATATCAAATTAAACAAGCCTCTTCATTTTTAGCACAGATTATTGAAAACTAACTGAAGATTAATCTTTAATATAGTTTTTTCTTTATATTTTATTAGAAAAATAAATATGTTTAATATATTTTTATTAACAAAATTTAAATAATTAAATAATCTAATAATATTTCTATCTGATTTTTATTTAGATTATACTTTATAAAATATAATTTTTTTATTTCATTTAATTATAATTAAATTTTTATAATTCTTTAAATTTAAATTAATTTTTTATATTTTAATAGAAAACAATTATTTCAAATTTGTATTTTCAAAAATGAAAAAAATGAAATGTTTTTTACAAAAGTAAGATTTTCAAAACATAAAGAAAATCATATTTTCTTAAAAAAGCTGCTAAATCTTTAGCTCCAAAACAAGAGATCTCATTTTTACTTTAACATTAAAATAAATTAATTAATTAAATTAAGAAAAAATTGACATATCTAAATAAAATTTTTTATTTTTAAAGTTTTTTTAATTTAAAAAATTATTTTTTTCAAATAAAATGTTTGTTTACATTAAATTTAATGTAAGATTTTTAAGTTTAGTAATACTTGCAAAAGTTAAACAAATCTTTGACAACTATTCATTACTTAATTTTTAATAGCTTTTATAATAAAATTAGTTAATACACAAAATAATAAAATTCCATCTTAATTAAAATAAAATTAATTTACTAAAGATCTAAATTTAAACTCTAAATATTTTAGCATTTTTTTAAAAGCATTTCAAAATAAGGACTATAATCTAAAAAAATTAAATCTTTGCGCCTAAATTAAAAATTAAAACAGAATTAAAGTTAAAAAAAATTTATTAAAATAAAATACCATTTAAATAATCAAAAAGAAAAGAAAATAAAATAATTAAAGTAAAATTTACTTAATTTAAAGCTTGATATTTAAAACTTTCAAATTAGCACAATTTTCTAAAAATAAATTTTCATTTTCTTTCTCTTAATATAAATTTCTAATTAATTTTAATTTAAAATATCTTTAATTTGTTTAAAAATATTTTATTTATTTTTTTTATCTAAAATTATTTATAAAATTTTCTTCTTTTATTTATTTATTTACTTATTTTATTTTTAAAAAATTCAAATAAATTGTTTTTTATTTGATAAAAACTTTACATAAAAATGAGGGACAATTCTGAAAGCAAACTGCAATTATTTAAAAGCATATTTAATTTACTAAGATCTAAACTACCAATCACTCGATTACTTCTATATAAATTAGAAAAAAATATTTTTAATTTTAGGAACAAATCTAAACTAAAAAAATTTTTAATACTATTAAATAAAATTAAATTAAAAAATTCTTAATAAAATTTTCTTATTTAATTATTATAAATTAATTTACTATTTTATTAAAATTAAATAAAAAATATTTTCTTTCTAAATTTAGTTTTGATTACTCCTATCTTAAAAATAATAAGTAATAAAAATTACTTTTTATCATAAAATCCATCAAATTTAAATTGAATATCTTGATAATGAACACAGTTTAAAACGAGCTAACTATTTAATGCCTCTTCTATCAAACATTAACTTAGACTAAAAATAAATTTATAAAAAAAAAGATTATTCTTTATGATTAAATTAAAAAATAAATAAAATATTTAATTAATTAATTAATTATTTTATTTAAATTATCTTTAAAGAAAAATTATTAAAATAAATTTACATTTAGCAAAGTTTTAATACTTGAAGCTTTTCACATTATAATATGGCTTTCGCTAAACTATTCAATGCTTTGAACTAACACTCGTTTTCACTTTAATGATAAAAGAAATCATATAATTATATAAAAATATTAAATAGAATAAAGTAAGTTGATTTTTAAAGTAAAGCAATAATTTTAGTTTTGTTAATTAAAATAAATAAATAAAAAAATTATTTGATAATAAAAAAGCGAATTACCTAATAGATAATTAAAGATTTTATAGCTATTTGCATTCAATTAAAGCATGTCCTAAATTACTTATCCCTTCATCCTAAATTCTATATCCCCTTTTAGATAAAATATAATTTATTTTTAAATTATTATTATAAAAAGATTGTTAAAATAATATATGTGTTTCAAATTTTACATAAATTTTACATGAAATTAAGATTTAATGAATGAAGTTTTTAACATTTTATTAAAGTTGAAGTAAATTAAACCATTTCTTTATCACCTATCTTGCTTTATTTTTTCCTAAGAAAATGAATATTTTAAATAAAAAGCATTCAGGTATTTTATTTGATTTATCAATTTTATTTACTTCAAATAGAGAAAATTAAGACTTATTTCCTGTAAATTTACCCAGCTTTGTAACAGTTTTTAAATACTCTAAAAATGCTAGATATTTTTTGTCTTATTACCACTTAAATTTATTATTAAATAAATAACTATTCCAATATATTAGATTAAAAAATAATTAATTTTGATTTACTGATCATTTAGCTCAAAAGAAGATATTTTATTTGAATTCAGTAGATTTGTTGTGATATCAGACTTAGATAAACTTTTCAATCTATGTTATTTATTTTTCAAAAATTTAACTTTTTAAAATTATCATCCTTAATTAATAAGTTAATTTATTAAATAATTTACGAATCATGATAGCAAATACCTATAAACGAAGTTTATTCATTTGATATTTATTTTTGAGTGGTATACAAATAAAATATATTTGTGGTATAACAGTGACAAAATTTGCTATATTTATTAAGAATATGATTAAAGTGAGATAGATTTTTAACTTTCGTTTATTTCTAAAAGCTTTTAATAAATAATTGATTGTATCTTTAACAAGTTAAATTAAGTAATCAAAATTTTTTTTTCTCCTTCAAGAAATTTGTTAATTACTTACTCTATGCTTACTTACAGGCGAATACTATCGCTAATACTATTTAATTCCTTTTAATATAATTTAAATATAGAAAGTTAATTATTTAAAGAATGTATTTACTTCTATTAATTCCAATTATTTTTCATTTTTTAATGATTTTTATTTACTAACGCAATGTCCCATTTTTATTATAAAAAATTTTTAATCTATGTAAAAATAATTATTAAAGCTAAAAAATTTATTATATACTGTGAAGGTTCATATATAAAGGGCACCTCGATTTTAGTTTAGACACCTAACTTATCGGCCGTAATGGCAGATTAAAAAATCAAAATTTTATTAAGATGAGGGAGATAATTACTGAAAAGTTGAGCTTTTTGAAATTAAAATTTGTTTCATATTATATTATTTAAAATTTTTATTTAATAATCTTAGAATTATTCTTTCATAATCTATAATATTTTGGTTAAATAGTTTAATAAATAATTTAAATTTAATTTTCTCTTTTAAAAATTAATATACATCATTTATGAAAAATATATTATCTCAATACATAGAAAAATGGTAAAATAACAATTATTTTAATCTTAATCTTTGTTTAATAGTAATAATCTTTCAAATAAACAAAAAATAAATATAAATATGTAATTAATTAAATATAAGTTTGCTTGTTTAAATATTAAATCAATTTATAGTATGTAAATAAAATTTTTTATATCATAAATGTAAATATAAATAGAATAAGCAATCAATCATAGGGTCATATATTTATAATTTTGTTAACTAATCTTTTTGATTTAAGAGGCTTACTCAATATTGTTTACTTTTGTGAATCATTCATATAATCTTCACTATAAAAAAAAATAAAAATTAAATTAAGTAATAAAAAACTTTAATGAAAATAAAATTAAATAAACAAAATAAAAAAATAATTTTTAGAGTTTTGCTCTTTTCAATTAATTTTTAAGCTAAAAAATATCTCAATACAAAACAAATAAAATATTTTTACTTAAAATAGAGCATCAAATTTTTGAGGTTATCACATTTTCCTAAGGTTGAGCCTAAACTTACTGCTCCTTTAAAGCTGATTTAATTGCAACTTATTAAATATTCAACAAAATATAAATTATTAAAAGCAAAAATGAAAAACAATAAATTGAATATAATAAAATGGAGAGAAATAAATGAAATAAAAAACCAATAAATAGATAGAATATTATCTATCATATTTTATTTTTATATATCAATAAATATCATACTCGAAAACAAAAAAATAAACTATTTTTACCCAAGATAAAGTGTCAAATACGATAGATCAGTCAAGTTTGATAAACCAAAAGATAAGCTTAATAACCCTTCTCCATAAATTTTATTGCCACTTTTTAAAAATTAAAAAAAAATCAATGAGTTTACATATGCAATTGAAAAGTTGTAAAATTAATAATCAAATTAATGCTAAAAGCTAAAAAGGTGAGTTTAATTAATAAATAAACACAATTAAAATCATAAATGAAATAAAAATTTAATATGCCAATTAAGTTTTATAATTTGAAATTAATTATAATATTAAGAATAACACAATAGAAAACAAACGAATAAATTGCTTTTACTTCAGATTTAGAGTTAAATTTTATATTTTTTTGCATTAAGCTAAAGCATTGCTTAAGCTTTTTGTACCCTATAAGCCAATTTAATTTTTACTTTTTTTTAAAAATTCAAAAAAATTAAGTAAGTAAAGAAATTACAAAAAAAAAAATGAAAAAGTAAGAAATTAAAAATCAATCAATATATTATATTTTAAAAAAGTGAGTTAAATTAAGAAATTAATGCAAAAAATCAATAAATCAAATAAAAAGCTAATAAATAAATTAATTTTAAAATTGGAAAAATAAACTTATTTTACTAAAGAGAGATTGTCAGATTTGAAAGATTGTTGCAGATTGCTAAAGCAGAACCTAAAACTTATGCACCTTGTTTACTAATTTGATTTCTACTGTTTAAATATTTCACATAATAAAATAAGTATAATTGAAAAAATAAGTAAAAAAAACAATTAATTAAATTTTAATTTGATAAATAGAGTTTTAATGAATGATTATATTAAAAATTAAAAGGACTAAATATAAATAAACTATTTTTACTTTAGGTTAAGTGTGAAATATGAAAGTTTATTGTGACTTACTAAAGAAGTAGGTAAGCCTATTATACCATCATCACCTATATTATTGTCACTTTAAAAATATAAAATTAATGATCGAAGTAAATTAAAAGTTAAAATTTAAGCTAAATAAACGAAAAAATTAAATAAAAATAAATTAAATCTTTAATTAATAAACAAATAGACTGTTTAGTCTTAAAATAATTCTTATGTTATAAAATATAACCAAAGAAAAACTAACTATTTTTTACTTGAGATCAAGTATCAACTTTGAGAGATTATTGAAGTTTGATAAAGCAGAAATTAAGCTTGATACACCCTCATTATTAATTTTGTTGTTACTTTTTTTTAAATTAAATAAAATATTACTCTTTAGAAGCTTAAAAGAGAAAAATATAGAAAAGTAGAAAAAATACAAAATTAATTATTACCTAAAATTTAAAAAAAGATTTAATTTAATAATTTAAAAAAAGATTTAATTTAATAAATTAAAAAAATTGTAAAATAAAAAATAATTTATTAATTTTTTTGTTTCAAATTAATTGTGTTATAAAATATATCACAACCAAAAACAAAAATATATTTTTACTAGAGATTTAAAGTAAAACTTGAGAGGTTATTTTATTTTGATAAAGAAGATCCTAATTATTATGCACTAATTGTATTCTCACTTTTAAAATATTCAAAAAAAAAATACATAAAACTAGTTCAATTTAGAAATGAAGAAAAAATAAATTAAAAATCAAATCAAAAGCTAAAAATTAAAGCATGAGCTTAAATCGGTAAATTTTTTCAACTGAAGAATTTTAACAAAAATTTAATTTATAAATAAATATTAAGAAATATTTCCTAATAAAATAGTTAATAATTAATTAAAGTTTTATTCTATTAAATTATTTTAATATTAAAAAATATTAAGTTTAAAATCATTGATAAACTATTTTTACTCTAGATCTAAAAACAAGCTCGTTAGATTAGCGCAATTTTCTAAAACAGATCCTAAGTATGATGCTCCATATAAACCAATTTAATTGCTACTATTATATATTCATAAAAATACAATTAGTTAGAATTATTAATTAAGAAACTAAAAGAATAAATTAACCCACAATATAATTATAATCAAAGTATATATATAAATAAAATTAAAAAAATTGAATTTTTTGCTTTAAGTTTATTTTAATATTCAGAAATGTCAGAATAAAAAACCATAAGTTGTTTTTACAAGAGATGGAGTGCCAAATTAGAGAGATTTGAGCAATTTCCTAAACCAGAACCTAAATTTTATGCACCTTGATCGCCAATTTCATTGTGACTTTTTTAATATTATTCAAAATATAAATAGTAAGAAGGAAAAATAGAAGATATAAAGTAAAATAATATGAAAAAAAAGAAATTTAATTAATAAAATAAAAAGCTAATTGAAGTTTTTTATCTAAATTAATTTATCAATTTTAAAATATCATCATTTAAAATAAATAAATCGCTTTTACCCTAAGATAAGTGTCAAATTTGAAAGTTTAGTGCAATTTGCTAAAGCAATACCTAATCTTAATGCACCTTATGAACCAATTTAATTGCTACTATATTATAAATACAAAAGAAATTAATTAAATACAAAATAATTAATGATTAGAATTTTATTTATACTTAAGATTAAGTGTCAAATTTGAGAGATTAGGGCATTTTGCTAAAGCAGAACTTAAGCCTGATGTGCCTAATGCACCAATTTAATTACCACTTTTTAAATATTCAATAAAACATATTAATTATAACAAAAAATTATTAAAATTAGTGAGCTAAATTTAGAAA